TAATATTATAATTGTCAATAATAATAATAACAGACTTTTCATCGTATATACCAAGTTTTTTAGCAACATAGAAACAAGTAACATAACGCGGAATAATTATGAAGTTAGAAATTAATTACTGTTCGATTCAATAATAATTAATAATCAAAGATCGAGCGGAAGTTAAATGAAGCGAAGAAGCTAATCGAAAGGAGAATCGAAAGTTTCCTGCGAATATCAAGCGCAGATATTAAGCTTAACTCGATTTCAATTATAACCTCCTAGTCATTCGGATTATAGAATAAATTCCTGAAAGAATTATTGAATATAATTTTACTGTGCAAACAAAGAACAGCTCAACGAAGGAAACGATATTATTAATCAAAAATATAAGAAAATTAATATTTATCCACGGAACTCGGCACACTTTTTAATTGCATCATATTCATTGAACCACTGACAAACATTTCACTTCTACATTATGAACATTTCATAGCATGAAACTCATACTACTTGTATCGAAAGTGGAAAAAACTTCGAAAATCGATCAATTTCGAAAATTCTCCGACCTTAAAAGTTTAACTTTGGCCTCGGTCACTATTGACGTTCGAATGCGATTTTCCAAAACCACTTGCATGTTAAAGGGCAAACTTCGAACTGCAATTTCACGTATCAAAATTTCAGAAACCTTCAGAGCGATCATTTCGGAAACGCGATCATACCGAAATCGTAACAGTTATCCATTAATCCTTTGCGGACGAGAATTTGTTGAAGTATTGAAAACATTTCACAAGGGAAATTAAATTGTACATCGATCTCTTGCTATTTGAAGAAATCAATTGTTTACTTACAACTTTGTATTTGACATATGAAAGCTTGATGTCGGTAAAATGACGACATTCGTCCTCAAAGGGTTAAAATTGTTTTGCTTCGTATCTCGTGTGGATAGGTGTACCATCGTTGCCGACGAAATCCGTTGCGCCCGGATTTCAAAAGAACTTCTTATACGAGCGGAATTTATAATTAATCAGCAATGAATAATTAATCGAGTGCTCGTTCCATTTTTACTCATGTGGAACGTACGCGTCAGGTTGTTCGGTTATTAAGGCACCCCGACGCATCAGGGGCTCCATTCAAATATATGATTCAATTAGGTATTATCGTGTCACTAAAACTTACGCGTTCAATTTTACAAGGCTGGCGACAAAGCTCGTATCGAATATCCGGCGGAGATTGAAATTCCGTAAAATCTACGGGGAAATATCGTTTTTTATCGTTGAATTTATAGAGTATAGCGCTCGAAGCAGGCAAAACGTTTCATCCATGAACAATTCACATAAACTTTGCGACAAAATGAAATACCACGAGAGAAATTCTTTTCGATTAAGAAGAATGTCATGAAATACTAATGGTTAACGTACTTTTGAAGAACATATGGATTAATTTCCTTTTTCTCGCACAGGGGAATATATTTTTCAGTTAGCTTTTGGTAAAACATTCGAAGATGCATATAAAACTGCAGGTATAAAGATTATTCAAAGCTATGGTGTTCAAATAATGGGAAATAATATATTTTAGGGAATCAAGTACGAGTATACTAGAACTTGGAAAGTCTGAAGCATTATTTTTCACTTAATATTTATACGAAGAGTTTGAACAGATGTTGTACTGTTGCACAATTGGTTTTCAATTAGATTTCTTGATGGTGTTTCTTTGAATAAATGTATTAAGGTACAATCGACACGTTGAACGGCGCACGATTTCATAACAAAATACACGAAATGGAAAAGATACAATATTAAATCGTTTGACCGAACTGCATTAGTAATAGTGTTATTGCATATTCATCTAGCTGAATGTCACCGCATTAGGTAGCATTATTTATAACATGGAAATGTTTTCAAATAATCATCATTTGAGTGAACTATAGTAATTTGAGTTAGTTGAGGGTAATCGGTGAACACTAATCTGTTCGTAGTTGTACCTCGAACGTGATTCAAATTTCATAACTTTATGATTCTATAATTTGACAATTTAATCGAGGTCTCCTCTGTTTATAATCCGCGGAATTTCCCTAAATCAACCGTATTTTCATACGTATTTTTTCAATCCCTGCTCTAAAAATTACGATGTCACGATCTTGCGTTTGTAAACGAAGCTTTTTCCCTGTATTCAATAAGTTTAAAGAGTTCCGAGAATCACCTTTGTTAGATCACTTCGACGACGGTGGATATTTTAAATTTTAATTTCCTCGTCGTGACGAAGAACAAATGTCCTGTGCTTTGCACTGATAATAGAACGATACCGTTAGTACTAACTTTAATAAAATCAAATAATTACATTTATTTCTTACTTCATTCTTTTATGAACATAAATTATGCGAGATGTTTTATTAATTAAATAGAATTACAAATATTAAGGATACCAAGTAACTGTGTCTACGTAAATTGGTCTTTAAATATTTCTATGAAATTAAAGGAACAAAAGGACCTCTCTGCTTTAATATCGAACGATTCTATCGGAAACAGAAATACGTGCCTTGAATAAATGTTTGTGCGTCCCGATAAACTTTCAACCTGTGTTATAAATTTGTCGCATGAAGTTCAATGCATTCTACGTATTTATTGCGGCACCATTTTAACGTTGAACAACTTGGTTGCATAATATAACGTATATCATATAAATTGTTTTATGACGTATCAGTTCAATCGACTCCAATTCCAATTGCGCTGTTATTGAAACAGCATGATATTTTGTATATACTGCATGTACGAACTCCACGAAACATTAAATGAGAATCGTCCATAATGGTCAGACGGACGGATATTTTATTTTTATTGTGATACAATGGTTGCGTGTCTCGATGAAACAACGTCCATAACGAAATGTTTCTACGAGCAAACGGTTATAATTAATAAAACGTTGAAATGCGAGAGTAATTATACGATGAAATGTATCGTTTGTTAATGGTAATAATCGTTAATTATTTAATAATTACTTTATACTTCTTATGTAATAAACTTATACTGTTTAACATTAATATTGTAATGAAATAATAATTCAAACGACTCTAGATGTTTCCTTTTATATGCAACACAAATTTATTGAATACAACTTTTTGAAAGTTAAACGAACCATAACTGTATATACGGTGTCCTAAGTGAACGTGAAAGTATTTCAAGATATCTCACTAAAACGCAAACGACGTTTAACATTCTTAAAACTTTCACTTAAAATTATTTTCCAAATTTAGTCGTACATTCTGCATTCACTTCTCGACTTTTCCCATAATGATTGTAAAATCAACTGTGGGAAACGTTCAAAATTTAATTAAGGAAAAATAGTGAGACTGAGAAAACATTTATAAGTTATAATTTCAAAAGGTGTCTCTCGACACGTTCGGTAGAAGTGGTGTTAAAATGGCCCGTGAAAAGCTCGCGTCCGTTTTTTATCGGTGAAAAAATTGTGACAGGAGAAAACGCTTTAAGAATTGCCCATTCACGGGAACATATTTTTGAAGAATTGCATTTTCTGGCTCGCCTGCGTGTGTGCCTCGTTTTAAATCATACACACGCGCCCGCCATTGACGTATGGTGGCGTGTAACGTGCACGGCGGTCCATTTATTTTGACCACTGTTGTATTTCCATTCTTCCCGGCGGCACGCGAACCGTGACGCGAAAATATTTTTTGATCGAGTATGGCAACCATTGTGATTAACGATCCACTATCGAAATTTCGTTACAGCGAGCCGTATCTCAGTCAAAATGTAACCTCGGACACAACGAAATACGTTAACACATCGCGGATGGGACATTCTGCCGTCAATCACGCTCGGTAACCATTCGAACCGTTTATTTTGAAAGTTACTTAAGTCCACTTGACACGTTGTACGCCCTCTAAATTTCAGCTATTAACACATTGTACGCGGGAAACGTAAAAGTACTATTTCCATGTACCGTCGAGTACTATTAAATAAACACTTGCATAACTTCGTTGACATTTTTGGTAAATATAGATAGTTGATTCCTTTCGTGTATGCTTGAAAGTATATCTATTTGTAATCGAAACGCTCGAAAATATGTTGAATAATAAATAAATGAATTGAATGAAACTGATATAAGTTGAAATGGACAAAACGGCCCGCACCTAATGTGTTAAAAACGCGGTGATTATATTGAAACATTTTTAAACATCAATCAAACCGAAACATTCGGCTTACGAAAATGAATAATTCGATTTTATAATTTTACTTTGGATTTGTGTTATACGTATCCAGAATGTTACATTAACATAGGATTATCAATTAAACGATTGACTAAAGATCCCATATTATCGCGGGACCGGTACGCAATGTATTAAAATGAAGATGCTTAACGATTTGCTCTCTACAGAAGAGGAATGAGAAGACTCGTCTTTCCACTATCAGGTTAGACTTCGCTAATTCGCGAGCGACAACTTAATAACTTCCAGTAACGACAGCGTTGAAGTAAAAAAAGATATCTTCCAATTGGTTGGACCCAATCAACTCGTTTACGGTACTACAGACGCGACAGTTTTTATCGGTCTCGTTGCTATCTGCCTATGACGGCGGAACTTTGGGGCGCGAAAATACGATTTCAATAGACGAAACAGACATCGAACAGGAAGAGAACTTTTTCGGAATCTGCTTCATAGACGCTTATTCAGCGCCGAGCAAATGCTATGCGCATATTCTGCTCTTCTAGAACTGGACAAGCTACGGAATGATCAAACTTCCTTTCACGTGGCTCGAATCAACCATGAAAGGAGGATTTGATGCTCATTAGCAAGTAATTCCGTTTTTCTGCACTTATGACGTTCGAATTTTTTTTCGAGTAATTAACGAAGCGGAGAAGTACGCAATTATTCGATTATTAATCAAAGGAGAACGCCTTGGCAAAATTCGAACGCGAAATCAGTTCGAAAATTGGCAGGGCAAAGTTATTGAAAATTGAGAAAGATATATAATATTACTCTTATTATCATATAACAATATTTTTGTCTAACTCGTCGCATAAGTGTTTAGTAATTTTTCAATACATGAAACTATAAGCATAAAAGACTGAAGAAAAGGAGATTTTGATTTTATTAACCCGTTGCACTCGAGAAGAGACTCTCGCTTATCACTTGATTTGATATAACAAAATTATGAAATCTTTTATATAATATTAAACTTTGTATAATGCGTCAATACGTGAAATACTGAAATAAAATAGCTTTCTTATTTATTTATGCATTTGTGCTGATTACTTAGTTTCAAAGAGTGTCACCTATATCACATCGGAAAATCTTGAGTAGCGAACTGTCGAGTGCAAAGGGTTAACTATCATATATGTAGATCCCACTAATCGTGAACAGTGTACACTCTAACAGCTAAAAAAGGCTGAGAGAATGTATAAAATTTTGCATTGCGTTGTTTCCATCATTCTGAACAAAATGCACGGGTATTGTCAAAGCCACGTGTTTGACCTCTTGGAGTGGGTGTGTTGGACAGTGACATTTCTGAAGAAGATTCTCTGTACAATTCCCTGCTATACTTTCGAGAGCATTAGGAGTAAACGAAGCAGAGGCTTTTGATTCAATTCCTATTTACTCGACGTACGTTTTCCTTGGAGAACATCGTTCACATTTATGAACGGATAACTTTATTATTGTAACTATTTAATCAATTTTGTAAAACACTTTCTACATAATGTGACAGCATAGCGTATAAAATTGTATGTAACAAAATGTGCAAGAAGTATTGCAGTTCGAAGAAAAGGACGTTTGAACTTATAAAGATACAGAGGTACAGAGAGCTGTAGGCGGCCCTATTGTTGTCAGATAATACTTTGATATATATCATAAAATATATTTCACGCTTGCGCTTCCCGTTACCTTTTACCCGTAGTTACTGTGGAACCAGTTCTATAATTTTTCAGTGATTTTAAATATATCTCAAATATGAACCACTTAATGTTTGCTATATTGTTATAGTAATTTGATAGTAATATTATAGTAACGTATCAGTCAAGTTTACTGCCATAATGTTTTCGTAAATGAATATTTCGATGAAACGATTAAAATACGCTGCAATAATGATAAGAATGATATAAACAGGCTATACACCTGCATGGGAAGTTGAGCAATTAATTAACAGGTTAATTCGTAATATGATTTCTTAATTACCTTTTATACGTTTATCGACGAATCATTGCATATGAATTGGTGAATTATACTCGATTGATCGTGTTATGTTTGTGTTGTGAAGTATAATTAAGGCAGGCTAATGATGACGAGTTATTCTGTAATAATATAGTGGATGATAACGTAAGAATATTAATAACGTGGCAATTCAGTGATTTCTGTAATTGCGTAAGAACAATTTCTCTTGATGACATGGAACAACTTGTTAGTCTGACTCTGACATCAAGTGAATTTAACTGCTCTTCATTAACTAACCAATTAAAAGTTTGAAATTCATTTTCCGAATTTCCAGGCAGTTTCCGATTTGCTGCTCGGTGTCTTCTGCATGCCCTTCACCTTACTTGGCCAGATTCTGAAGAATTTCGTCTTCGGGATCACGCTGTGCAAACTAATATCGTACTTCCAGGGTACGTATTTTTTCATTGAAAATTCCATTCGAAACGCATGGACTTCATCACGGTGGAATATCCTCAAAACCACTAATTTCATTTATGTTTCTACTAACTCACTTTCCACGAAACTGTAGTTATTCAATTTACATTATTCATTTCGAAGTTTTCATTCTTTTCTGAATCTTTTCTCAATATAACTCATTTATCATGTATTATAATACAATTATACTGTAATGATAAAGTGAGCAATATGATTATACAATATACTTACACGTTACGAGCCAGTTTCGATTTATCACCATTATAAATAATGCCATTTGAGATTACATACTCCACAACATGTGCATAAGAGCATGTTTCTTGTAAAATTTCAACATTCGGAGCATCTAATATTTCTCTCCAACTACTGTGGACTGATCAGTATACACACTCACTACCAAGTTCAAAGTTTTCACCGCGTATCTGGCTTATTATTGTGTGCGTCAAGGGGGAAAGAAAAGTATGACTATACTGATCAAGTATTTGAACTAGCTTTTACCTTATCGAACTTTCCTCAGCTTTCATCTTGGCGTAGCTTTTTCCGATGATCGAACATTTGCGGCGCGCCTCGCGGAGGATCCGAATGCATTACCATTCGAAGTTACTTTTGCCATATATCACTGCCGACATAATGGCGAACAGCGTTGCCTGTAAACGATACAGATTTATGGTGCTCGCTTTACACGTCCTTTAATTGCGCGAATGGTGTCAGTGAATAGGAATATTCGATACGTATAAAACAATAAGTGCTATATATGCAATACGATTTTTTTATTAAACGCATTTTTTTCGAGAAAATCAAGATAAAAAATGTCTAAAATATTTGCGCAGTTGGTTAATCCAATAGAATGCAAGTGATGTAATCGAGGTGAATTTATTTGATGTGCAGGAATATACATATGTATAGAAATATAAGTGAAAAATGCGGAGCAAGATTCAGTCGTGTGAAATCACGTTTCCGTACGATTCCGACTTGAAAATTCGTGAAGCGTACGTAGTCTGCGTTCGGTTAACTGGTGACCACATACGTTTGCAGTCGATCTATTCGGAAATGTCTCGAATGAAACATTTTATTTTATGCTTTTGTTGTAGCATTTTATTCTATCATTTTTCCAGTATTTCCTTTTTTAACAACACAGCGATGTAATTTGAGTCAAAATAATTATAACGGCCTCCCGGTAGTTCGATAATGTGTTAAATGAAATAAATTCGTTGCATTTTCATGGATGCCAATATCAAAATTGACTGGATCGCGAAGGGAGAATTTGTTCGAAGCCTTTCAAAGAAGCCAGGAAAGCTGGAAATCCATTATCAGTGATGGTTTATTGTGAAATATCAGTGGAATTAATTGGAAAAATTTCTCGTTTGTAATGCGAAAACTGTTTCCACCGAACGGTGAATAATTTCGTTTTCACCATTGGTAATCGTCGATCAATTTCAAATGAAAAATTGACAATTCCATTAACCGTTCGCGGTTCGAACTGCTCTTGGCTTCTCACTTTGAGATTCGATTACGGCTTAATATGACGCTCAGTTTATGTATTCAAGAATACTTGGGAGTCAATGAAATGGTACAATTTACTACAAATGAATATAGAAAAAATTGTTAAAACAAGTGGAAGTCGCAATAAAATCGACTCGACATAGGACTGTTGACACGGGAACTATTAGACAGATCAAAAGTATTTCGAGCAGTGCACATGTAAATGTCGCTTCGTCAATTGAAATAGTTTCATTTAAAGTGCTTTCAACATGTTCAAATATTCTCCGGTGGTTCACAGTTAATTGCAAGTCAAATATTTTCATTAAACTCTCACGACACTCATAAATCTGATGCACGTTGCGCAGCTCCTCGAGCGTCTGCGAAACTATTTGACTTATACGAAACAGTTGCCACTTTTAGCAACTATCTGTGTCGGTGCGTGAGTCGACCCGCTAATTAATTTTACTAAACAAAGCCTACAGTGATTGCATTGTTAAGAAGAACCCGTGGAATTTCATAGGACCATGAATAAATTATTCTATATTTCATCTCATCAGATTCGTCTGATTAATAGTCAAACTTTCGCTGACGAAGATTCTTTGGAATATACAAAACCTTCGGCAGATGAGGCTAAATTATATATCGATCGCTTAAATAATAAAAATAAGGAAACTACGTACTGATCTCTTGCTAATCATTTGTTTCCTACGTACCGTTCGAAGTATGAAAATTTCATCTCGCCGAAATGTCGACGATCGTCCGCAAAGGGTTATATATTTTACATTATACAATATTTCTCCAGTCACTGTATTTTTAGTTAAAGGATCGCAAAGTGTATTTCCAAGTTTCATTTCGCTTACGTTGCCTCGGAAATCATTGGTAATATTACGAAGTTCCATTTATACGTTCAACAACTTGTTACGGAGCCTCTCGAACTTGTATTTACTGGGACAAAAATCTTGACGAGTTATTCCGCCCCTTTGCTTTCGAGATTAAGGATATTTGAACGTGTTCGTATTCGCTTCGTGAAAGTAATAATCATGATTCCAATATTTTCCCGGGAAATGTAATATTCTTCAAGTGAGCAAAATCTGAAATACGCTAACGTTAATTACTATCTACTTCTCTTTCTACGTGTTACTATGAATTCAACTGTAATATAACTCCTATCTATCCGTTTCATTTTATGCGTCGGATCCACAACAATTTATATAATTCATATTTCTCTCGTCTCCCATTTCGTTCGTATAAATCTCAGACAATTTCTGGAATTCGTATTCCCTTGTGTCCCGTTTTGTTTTTATGTAATAGTAAAACACCAACAGCGACGAAGTAAAGCTACGATAACAAAGTGAGATTCGAGTATCAACGGTTGTCGTAGTCGCAAGAAAATGAAGAGGTTCCCTGAATTATTCCCTGAACGTCGTTGCGTGCGACGTTCTCTCTGCCGAAGGTATTTCAGGTATTCAATTGAGGGAAGTAAAGTCCCGTCGCAAAAAGGGAGCGCCAAGTTCCCGTGAATCCTACGTTAAGTGTCCATCTGTCCGAATGGGGCTGGGCTCCACAACTTCGCGGTGCAAAATCGCTTCGCGCTGGAACGGATTACGGGATCGGCTCACTGAGTAATACGACTCATCGCGATCGTGTTTCCCGCGCGGCCGCATTTTAGCTAACACAAAGTAAATAAGTGAATAAACATGTATGTAGGTAAAATAGATAAATAGGTAAATAGGTAAAATGGATAGATGAATAGATAAATAAATCAATAGATAAAACAAATAGGTGAATGTGAAGTGAATGTGTAAATAGGTAAATAAATAAAATAAATAGATGAATAAAAAGTAGGTAAATAGATGAAATAGAGAAAATAAATATATTAATAAATAAATAGGTAAATACATAAAATAGATGAAATAAATAGATTAATAAGTAAATAGGTAAATAGATAAAATAGATGAAATAAATAGATTAATAAATAAATAGGTAAATAGATAAAATAGATGAAATAAATAGATTAATAAAAAATAGGTAAATAGATAAAATAGATAAGTAAATAGGTAAAGTAAATTTATGGATAAATAAAGAGACAAGGGTGTAGACCACTATATAGACTAAATGCAGGGCGCAGTTGGTAGAACGAAAACAAAATTGAATATCCTCTACTTGCTGGAGCGCGCGTTCACACTGAATGAAACGCGAGGCGCAACTCTGCAGCTTCTTTGACGGACTTCATCGAGTTACGGAACTCTCAATCGACAATTGAACGGACTTTCCTCTTCCTTTCGTCCCACGCTTACCAAACAACTGCGTTAATTTCGATTGATTTTCGAAAATCACAGAAACGAAATGTTCCGATTGCAACTGAATATCTCGAGAAATTCCATTCTTCTCTTAATACTTAACAAATGCTTGAGAAAAGAGCTGCAACTATAACCATTTTCGTTAAGTTGCGTAAGATTTCATTAACACGTTGACGTAAATGACCTCTATAGACATCCATTGCGTGTGCGTGTAGATGCAAACGACGTCTAAGCAGTCCTATGTTTTTAGTATTATAAAACAATTAAAAAAATGTATATCACTGTTGAATTTATTACACTCTAAATCATTTAGCCTTCTTTCAATAATTGTTGAAAAAAAACCAGCTTTATGTCCAGAATGCTTTGAGCCTTATCATTCGCTTTATGCTACAAATGTTTCTTAAAATTAAATTTTATATCTCTAAATGAATTTTTGAATTTTTCATATGATATTAGAAATTTTTGTTCTTGTATCTTTCAATTTTGTGTTACATTGAAAAAGAATGTAAATGAAAATCATGTGTAAAATAAAGTTATGTTTATGGAAATATGCCTCTTTTATTTTTTCCTAAATTATTTTCAAAAAATATCATCAGAGAAATCGAAGCTGTGAAAAACAAATGACGGCTGTAGACGTCTACTTTTTTTTAAGAAAATTTATTAAAGAATACAATAATTTTAATCTGTAAGTATGAAATCTTGATCGAACTCCCCAAGAACCAACTAACTGACAAAAAAAAGAAGTGTGTTTTTAGAAGCACTCACCGATTTCAAAATGAGCGTCAACGTGTTAAAAGTTGCGCCTCATAAAAGCAAGATAGGCATTAATGAATTGCAAGTATCCTTAGTTGAAGACGTACAAAATAACAAAAGGAAAAGGAAAATAATGTAAGTGGCAATGGGTGGATAAAGGAAAAGTGATCCCCACATTCGATTGGTTAGGTGTTAAAGTAGTCACCGTTGAATTCAGTGGTCATCGAAATTCTATATAGTGGTCTAAATAATTTTCTTAATAATAGAGGAACCGGGAAATTTTCATTTTAATGTTCGACTATTGGCAAGATTCATTTTTGATCGTATCAAAAACACTGTATCATCAGAGTCGAAAGTGTTGAAATGGTATGCACGTTCGCCAAGAAAATCATTAATTTTTCATCGGAACACAATTAGAGAAACGCGCGAGTGCGATTGAA